TATATATATATATATATATATATACTAACATGCTGTTGTTTGCCTCCATCAGATCTCATAGCAACAATATTGAATAGCTTGTAATGTATACAAAACAATATATTGTTTGATTTTTTTTCCCTCTGGAATCCACATGACAACTTGAAAACAACAATAACAACAATCTAATTAACAGTAACCATAGGACTTACATGAATTACACTCAACCTTCCAGAATTACTGAGACTATATCTGAAACAACCTTACCTGAAATGAGGGAAAAAGGAAAGTATTTCAACCATTAAAAACTGATTTCAGTTACTGAAGGTTTTGGAGCTTCCATAAGTCTGAACAGGAGAGGATCCGTTGTGTGTGTCTACGTTTTACATGAGAGCACAGCTGCAGTGTGAGCTCTGTGAAAAATGCTGCTGCACACAGTCACACAGCAGCTCAGTTCAGCTGAGGGTTCCTGGGAATCCGTTTCCAGGAAAGGTTTAGTGTTTCAGCGCCCGCAGTGACAGAGAGGCTGCAGCCAGCAGGTCCTGATGGTCTGTCAAGCCAACACACACAAACACACTGCTTCCCTTCAAATGTCAACATAAGATGAAGAGATCAATTTGACAAAAAAGGGAAAACATTTTTGTTTGTCACAATTAAATGTTATAACAACAATAAATAAAATATATTGAACAGCATTGGACAATTTTCAGAGGTACTCTATTGACATATTTTGGTTTCAATCACACTCTTTTTAATACATTTTTCTATAATGAAATGAAAATAAAGTATAATTTTGTCTGAGAGTGACTTATAAGATTTTTTTAGATGCTGCACACACATCCACAGAATAACAAAATACACAGAAAAAAATAATTGTATTTTAATTTTTTTATAAAGGAAATATGCTAAAGGAAATCTTTAAGAGTCATCTGTTAAACAGATGTATATTTTCATTTTAAGAAATGCCAATAAAGTTAATTATACTTTAAATATTAATTTATATAGGACACTTTTAGAACTCTGAAGACAAGATCCATTATAAGTTCAGATCTGGGTCTATATTACATATAAAAAATCTGAGAAACAAAAAAGTGAACCCTCAGGTCTGTAATGAGGGTGTTTTAACTAATAATCTATTTCTCTTATTATATTAACTGTAAATTATCTGCCGCAAATAATCAGTAGGTGTACAAGAATTTTGACAAAAACCCTTCTTGATAATTTCATGGTCATTTTTCATTTATTGCTATTATTTCAGGATTTAAAGGTTTATGCTGATTCTACCAGGGCTGTCGTTTGTTTCTGTTAGTTTTAGATGAAAATCTAGGAGTTCTACTTCCTGTAATATTTGTAACTTGATCTGACTGAATTGTAGTTTCATGCTGTCTTCCAGTTCAGTCAAAACAGAAACACAAACACTGTTAATTTTAATTTCTATTACAGACTGTTTTATAACATGGGTATTAAAGCTTGTAGTTTTCTTTTCTAGTAAACTTTAGACATTAGCTGTTAGTTTGCTGCCTTATCAGATTTCATGATTTCTTCACTATCATCTTTCAGTTGTTTGTTACTTGAAACGTCTGCATCAGGTGCAGCTTCTTTTTTTTCTTGGAAATTAACTTCTTATCTAAAGTCAGCCTCTTTTCTAAGATTAATCTTAATCTTAACATATTTTGCATGTATTGAGATAATGACCACTTGAAAAGCTGCTGCTTAGCTCTAAGCCTGGATTCCAAGAAGAAATGTTCACATCAGGCCTGTTTCCCGTGAGGTATGAAAGCAGCACAGCACAGGATTCTGGGTAGATCTCCTTCTTGGAAAAAAAACAGGCAACCCCGTGACCCCTGCTGCTGCTCCCTGCATGACTATGGGATTTCACTTACACACGTGCAATTAGGAGGAACACAAGGAAAACACAACTAAATACATAAAACGTTTGATTTAATTACAGCGTAAAATAACAAACTTCATTTAAATGTTGCCAAATGTCAATTAGAGGCTACTGAAGCAGTAGATTACTGTGCCACTTTAGAGTAGATCTACTATATCATAGTGCCAGAAAAGCACTACGAATATAACAAATTCTGAGCTATTTATGTTGGTCTTTATGAGTATTGAACTTTTTTTTTTCTAGCCACACAAAGTAGGCCTCCTTTTTACCTACAAATTGTCTTGTCACAGAAAAGATTGTGGAAGAACTTGTTTATTATAGACCTTTAAAAGTTATATAATCTAGCTTAGTCTTTTTCAAGTTTAAATAGGGTCACATCTGGGCAAGAATTGCACTAATAATAATAATAATCATAATGATATTGATAACAATATAATAATAATAGAACTTTATTGATCTCACACTCTGTGATGGACTGGCTTCCTGTCCAGGGTGTCCCCTGCTTCTTGCCCGTAGACAGCTGGAGATAGGCAAAAGCAACCCTCACAACCCCAAATGGGATTAAGCGTGACAGAACTTAGGGGGGTAGTGGGTGATCTCACACTGGAGAAATTTATCTCTAAATTTAACCTATCCCCTTGGGGAGCGGCGGGCTGCCATTGTGCGGCACCCGGGGAGCAGTGTGGGGTTAAAGGTCTTGCTCAGAGACCCAGAGTTCAGGCTGTGGGGATTGAACGGGGTACCCACAACCTTCTAAGAGCACAAGCGTACTGCTTTAACCACTAGGCCAACAATCCCCCACTTCTTTTTTTTTTTTATAATAATAAAAAAGTGCAATGCGCTGGGATAAAATGAAGAGGCCCCTATAAAAATATTTTTATAAATAAAAAACATTATGGACGACTCTGAATATCCTCTTCACAAAACTGCTGAACAACAACAGACTCTTCAATCAAAGGCTTCTCCAGATTCTATGCAAGACAGCCTGCTTGAGAAGATCCCTTCAATCAGCAGGTTTTTTTTCAAGCCATGAGAGATTATTTCCCCTAGATTTCAGTGAAAGAAACATTAGTTTAAATGATAGTTCTTACAAAATGCATGTATTCATATAATTGCAATCTGTGTGTCTTTTATATGTCCTTTAATATGTGTGTCCTCTATCGTGCCCTACAACTGATGTCCTTTTTCTGGAGTTTATTGGTTGTTCTAGAGGAAAAATCCAGATTCTATTAGACATGACGCACATCAGTACAATTCCATTATTTAAGACTATACACAACTGATAGGTATGTAAAATGAGAGCTATGGTACATGTAAGCATTTAAACATCTCTCACCCCACCCCTCATACTCCTGGGTGGGCTGGGTGGCTTCTTCAGATGAAGCTAACCCATTACATAGATTACAGGCATGTCTTGAAGACATAAAAAACTGGATGACTCTTAACTGCTGCTCCTGAATGCAGACAAAACAGAAGTTATAGTCTTTGGACCAAAGTCTTTGAAAAATAAGCTGATTAGTCAGTCACTTCATTTGGATGGGATTAAACTGATTTCAGATAATAAAGTAAATAATCTTGTTGTTGTTTTTGATCAGGACCTGTCATTTAAATCCCATATCAAATGGGTTTCTAGAATTTCCTTCTTTCATCTGAGGAATATTGCAAAAAATTAGAAATATCCTGTCCAGGGTTGATGCTGAGAAACTAGCCCATGCATTTGTTACTTCAAGGCTGGACTATTGTAATTCTTTACTTTTAGGAAGTCCACAAACTGTAGTTAAAAGCCTTCAACTGATCCAAAATGCTGCATCCAGAGTTCTGATTAAAATTCAAAAGAGTGATCATATCTCTACTATCCTGGCTTCTCTTCATCAACTTCCTTTTAAATCCAGAATAGAATTAAAAAAAAAACCTCCTCACATTTAAAGCCTTAAATGACCAAGCTCCATCTTATATCAGAGATATGATTGTTCCTTATGTTCCTAACAGAGGACTTCACTCTCAATCTGCAGGTTTACTAGTGGTTCCTAGAATTTCTAAAAGTAGAATGGGAGGCAGATCTTTTAGTTATCAGGCTCCTCTCCTGTGGAACAGACCAAAACTCTAGGTATCTGTTGGAGACACATTTCCAGTGTAGGGGTTACTGTCCCTTAGTGCTCTGATGACTGCGAGCACTACAGTTGCTTTCACCCTTCAGGCTCTCTATAGTTCTTCCCTGAGCCCTAGGTATTTCTCTAGTTTCTCATGTTCTTTTTATCATTCGGGATGGCCACATCGATGACTCAGCCATCCTCTGCTGCTTATCAATGATCACAATGTGTGGTTGGTTAACCACAACTATTTTGTCTGTATGTATCTGGCAATCCCACAGGACCTTAGCTCTGTCATTCTCCACCACCTCCCATTGTTTTCTAATATTTAAGGTTATGTTTATTTAGTTTGGTTAAACATTCAAAAAATTGCCATTTAAATCTAATAAATCTTTCTTTAACAGAAACTACCCCCGTAGACACTAATTTCTAATCAAAATTCACTTTTTGTTGCAAATTATCCCCTGGATTATCAATAAATCAGAATCTTATGGAGAAGATTTATTGAGTGAATATCAATTTAAAGAACAAAAACTATGTTTGTGAATTGTAGATGATTTACAGGGAATCTTATGTTTATCAAAATCAAACAGCAAGGCACAGGAGCTCCATCGTCCCCATATTTCCCTTTTATTACTGAAAACTTCACATCCTTCCCTTACTGTCATGCTCATTGTGCTAACTGGTGAATCATCTTCCAATTTTGCCAGTTTATTAAAACTTTTATTGTTTTCAAAAACAGACCTACACATTTTTCTGAGAGTATTATCCCTTTTGTATTTTTAGTAATATAGCCTTGATTTTAGACTATTAGAAATGAACTAAGATGGCTAAATTAATACAGAGTAATTTAATGTCCCGACCATATCATGAAAACATTATACATTATATTCTCATTACTACTTCAACTACTATAGCACTTCCTGGCTCAGTAGAGTAATACACTTTGCATTCTTATGTCATACGAAGTTTATTCATTGTACATGGTTGCCAGCAATACAATGAAATTGCTTTTGTTCCCGACTGTCTTCTGACTTCTCCTGTCTTTTTACCCTTTTAAGGAAAGGGTAAGAAAAATGTGCTTCTGTGTTCCAGCATTTCTAATCCCCAAGTAAACAGTACCTAAAAGTTCCTACACACCTAGATAATCTTGAAACCTCAAGTAAAAAAACAGCTTTATAACATCAGGTTGTGAGAGTTTAGTTATTTCCATGTTTCCTACATTGAATTGATGTCCCCAAATGAAAAAAAAAAAGTTCAGAAAAGTGTGAGAGTATACTACCAAAATAAAAGATTAATTTGTTTTAAGGCTTCTTACATTTGTCTAACTGGAATATCAAAAGGTGTCAAGAGTGCTGCCCATCACAACAGGTATATTTCCACAATAAAAAACGCTGACTGTAAAATTAGGCCAAACGCCTGTTAGCTGTGCACCGAGCAGTGACGCTCAGCTCTCAGTGTTTTGTGTGGATCTGTGAAAACTTTGGCTGCATGACATCCCTTTTTGTGGACAGCCTAACTGTTGGACAACAGAAGCTTTAGAGGAGAGTGGAAAAGTTGCCCAAAATAAATCAGCCTTTAGACAGATCTTTATAGTGACTTATTAGTTTTACCTTTAGGACAGATCTACACCTTACTTAATTTTACTTTCAAAAATTATCTTTGAATAGCAATATAGAACAAGTGACAAAAAACTTAACATGGAAATAACAGGCAATCAGTATTCAATATTTCTAAAATTGCTTGCAGATATTTTTTGGGTGTGATGTCTAATTCTCCCCCCCGTTCTCTCCCCTCTCCTTGATGAGGCGTTTGTTGCCCCTCTTCCCTCCTGGTCCATGGGGCTTAGCGAAGGCCTGCTTTAAGGTGTGCTCTATGGGATGAACCTCCTCATAGAGAAATTCTTCTGTCAGCCCATCGCCGCTGTCTATCTCCATCTAAACACACAAAACAGAGAATAATTAACTAACTCAGTGGTGGTCATTACTGAAGATAAATCTGCTGATTTGATATGACCTTTACCTTCTTGGTGACTTCCAAGTGATAGTCTCTCTCCACCTCCTCCAGTAACCTATTCTTACAGCTAGAGTACAGCATCCGCTCCTTGATGCTGCAGGTGTAGCCAGGCATCGAGTATATAAAGACTGGGAGAGACATGAAACTAATCAGAGGGCATTTAAAGACTGAGCTATGCCAGGAAGAGCTAGGTTAGAGGCACTGCAGTTTAGGCTCAACTAAACAGCCAATAAGAACTCGGAAAAAATGCTTCAGATAGAACAACAAATCTACTAACCAAGTTTTGTGTAAAGAACGTCAAACCAAACCTCACAAATTTCAAGTTAAAAAAAAATTATAATTTGCCAAATATGGCTTTTTATTTTTCGATTTACAGATAAATATCAAAATGTGTTTAAATCTGGTGCATTTAGCCAATATATGATGAATTTATGCAACTGAAAGATTCATAACAGATTCCTGTCTAAGTGTATTTGGGTTTCACTGAATATAATTGCAATTGCTTTGATTTCACAGTTTTGCTACATGTAAACCTGTATCAAATTTAATAAATGGGAGTTAGTCTTATTCTCCTTAGGTATGAGTGTGTGCGTGAATGGTTGTATGTCCTGTTTGTCTCTGTGTTGCCCTGCGATGGACTGGCGACCTGTCCAGGGTGTACCCCGCCTCTCGCCCATTGACTGCTGGAGATAGGCACCAGCACCCCTCGCGACCCCAATTGGGAGAAGCGTGTCAGATAATGGATGGATGGATGGATGGGAGTTAGTCTTTAAAATTTTTCGAGACATTTGACATTATTCAGAACATCCAATTTTGACGTTTGAACAACAAGTTTAGTAACCACTGGTATGGTGGTGAGGGAACAATGTGGTGTTTTATGAATAGATGTAAAAGTCTGAGAAAATTACTGATCTAAAGATATTGTATAGAAAGTAGGAACATTTGTCAAATGAATTTGCTTCAATGAGGAAAATAAGTATTTGAATGCCCTGCTATTTTGCAAGTTCTCCTACTTAGAAATCATGGAGGGGTCTGAAATTTTCATCGTAGGTGCATGTCCAATGTGAGAGACATGGTCTTAAAAACAAAATCCAGAAATCAAGGGGAGATCTTTAAGCCACATGGTAAAAAATGCATCAGAAAAGATCTCCTATTGCACATGTAAGACAGGCCGTGACATGTGCTGGTTTAAGCAGGGGAATCTTCCATGCCAGGCATGATTTCAAATCATGACATCTTAGTGTATTACCAACAGTAACCTTGGAAACAATGGTCCCAGCTCTTTTCAGGTCATAACCAGCTCCTTCCGTGTAGATCTGGGGAGATTCTCCCATTTCTTGGGATTATTGAGGCCGCATGAGGTGAGATCTTGCATTGAGCTCCAGTCCAAGGGAGATTGACAGTGATTCCGTTTTTTAATGAATTCGCTAACAGTGGACCTTTTTTCACCAAGCTGTTTGGCAATTTCTCCGTAGCCCTGTCTAGCTTTGTGGAGGTGTACAATTTAGTCTTTAGTCACTTTGGACAGCTCTTTGGTCTTGGTCATGTTAGTAGTTGGATTCTTACTCATTGCATTGGGTGGACAGGTGTTTTTATGCAGCTAACGACCTCAAACAGGTGCATCTACTTTAGGATCATAAATGGAGTGAAGGTGGACATTTTGAAGGCAGGTCTTTCAGGGTCAGAATGTTGGAATTTTGACAGGTGTTTAAATACTTACTTTATGATTATTTTACCTTACAATTATGTCTCTCACAGTGGACATGCACCTATGCTGACAATTCCAGACCCCTCCACGATTTCTAAGATGAAGAACTTGCAAAATAGCAGAGTGTTCAAATTCTTATTTTACTCACTGTATATGAGTCTTCCCTGATAGCCATAAATAATATAATGGTTGTTGTGACTGATTGGCCTTGCTTGTAAGTCTATGAAACCTTTTTTCAAGATGATAGGAAGCTTAAACATAAATCGAAAAACACACAAAACACGATACCTGTATCTAAAGCACTGTAAATATTTGAAATTTAGCAAGACAGCCAACTTAGAGCTCCTTGAGGTTTTTCTCTTAGGAAATCCTCCACACATCTTAGTTATTGCTCAGCTAAATGCAATGAGTTATAAGCCGCACCCCTTAGACCTAACATTCTCAGCAGCATGTTGTTAAAGCACAGAAGCCCTATGTTCTTGACGGACCAACTTATATGGTGTAAAAGGTCAAAGTTGTGCCATCATAGGGGATTTGTGGTTATGTTTTTGTTGTAAAAGCATAAGTTAAAGGCAGCTAAATACAATGGCTGATTTCATAATAAAAATGCACCTTACTGTGAGGAAAATGGAGGGTGACAATTAACTCAGGGTCTTTAGAATCTGCTAAAGACCTTTAAGATGTCTTTGTAACTTGCAGGGTTTCTTCTGGGGCATTTTTTATTATCAATTTCTCTATCAATTTTGAGACTTTTACAATTGGATATGGCTTGCTCAATGAGAATTTAAAGTAGGAACTGCCTCATGGCCAGAAGAAGGCATCATCCTGACAGTAGCTATGTGCAAAGTTGATGTGATCTTCTAGCGCTGCATAGAGCTGTGGCCTAGGCATCATTATAGGAAGCTGTTGAAACACCTCAAATGCATAGGTGAAGCGCAGGACAGCGTTTTATAACTGTAAAAATGTATTTGATGAGAACAGGGAAGAAAGCAGTATTGTACAGTGAAAGCTTTCCAACAATTCTGCAGTCCGTTCAAGTTAAGGCAAGATGCAAAATGTTTAAAGTCATCATTGTTAGTTTAACCTCTCGCAATTTAATAAACTACCAGAACACTTCTCAGTCACACATCTTCTAAAGTGGCTATGATTATCTGGTTTAAACCATAGCTCCTCCAAACTGCATCTTAAACTTGAGTCTGAAACCTTTTTTTGAAGTTGACTCATAAGCTTGAGCTGCTCTCAGTGCTAAAGGCTGCAGCAGGAAATGAACACACCCAAGAGCCTCGGCACAGCTGGCAGGAACATCCGAGGTGAGTAATAACACTCAGTGGGTGCGTCAGGGGAGGAAACACTTTGCCATTAAGCCGTCATCTCATTCATAGCCAGAGTGTGTAACAGAACTGATTAGTAAAGCTTTGAACATGTGGCTGGCATATCGTCTGGACGTGAAGCTTTTGGAAAACACTAGAAATTACATTCTCAGAAAGGCTGTGGTTGATGCGATACTCAGCAATTCAGTCACAAAGATTTGGCAGCCATTAGGAGAAGCGCTGACACATAAGCTACTTTCACACTGTATGTCTTAATGCTCAATTACGTTTTTTTTGTAAGATCCGATTTTTTTGTGTAGCTGTTCACATGACCTCCTCAAACTGTGTTCCAGAATGTGCAAGAAAACAATAATAAGAACAGAAATTAGAAGTCAGTGTCTATAGATGGATTTAAAGCTGTTTAAACAGTGCAAGTACCAGGATGATACAGCAGACAATGCTGAAAACGAGACAGACGAGAAAGAGTGCTAAACTATTAATTTTGCTTTTAGAGGAGCAGTGGCAGCAACTTCTTAGAGGAGAAACATGTGGGTGCAGCGTCATAGTCAAAAGACCTGTTGCTTTAAGACCTCTTAGGTTTCTTTTGGATTGTTGAATCCACCCAAGTATTTATTAACTCCATAATTTTCAGTCAAATACTTATTAACTCTGCTGTACATCTCTTTCTTCGCTGTCCTCCATGTTTGCTGTAATTGTTTATGGACTCTGGTCAGAATGCATGATGTTACTTCAAGTTAGAAGAGACATGTTGGTGAATTTATTTATTTTAAACCAAATCTCTGTTAAAAAACAAAAACTGGATGATATGTCTTTACAGAGTGATATCATCATCTTTGTTAAGAAAGAAAAATCAACCTTAAACAGAGGGGGTGGACTCATCGTAACCCCCACCCGATTACAGGGGACCAGAGCACTTCGCCTCTTCAGCCAGGCCAAATATTTCCTGTAAGGACCGCCCCGTTTAGAGACATAGACAGGTTTCGTGTATTACAGGATATCAAAGACACAAAACGACCCCCATTCCTAAGGGGCGGACCCGCTCGTCAGGATGGTTTTGCATGTTTCTAAGCTAAAAAAAGGCTTTGTTTTGGTCCACTATATAAAGCCTTGAACGCTGACGGTTTGAATTAAAAAAGCTCCCTGGATGGGAAGTGAAACGTCTTCAAACTGGGGAAAAAAAGTCCAGTGTTTGTTTTTTAACAGAGATTTGGTTTAAAATAAATAAATAATTTCACCAACATGTCTCTTCTAACTTGAAGTAACATCATGCGTTCCGACCAGAGTCCCAACTTAAAATATGATTCAAAACCAGTGAAGGCAGCTTAGAGGGATGGCTAGGAAAGCTAACCCCAGACTTGAAGCTCACCACCAAAGATAAATTATCCAAAAGGCCAGTGGAAATAAATAAAAACAAAACCATGATTGTGGTAAAATTCTGACGCCTCTGATTTTGTTTATCTGTTATTTTTGTTTATATTTGTTTATCTGCATATTTCCCAAGCACAGCAGACTGCATACTGACCCAGCGCCTCCTGAATCTGGCCTTGATGGGAATGCTTGAAGATGAAGAAGTGATATCGAGGAGAATCTGTAGGAATCCTGAAGGGAAGCTCGTGGGTTTCTGTGGGTTTGGTGTGAACCAACTCAATCGTCTCTTTTTCCACATCCAGCTTCTGGAGCACAACACAGACAAGCAAGAGAATTAATCTGAGAGAATTAATCATGTACCAGCATTACAACATATACCATTTGAACCATTTGAACCAAGACTACCCACTGATTACATAATGGCTTTTGTCTTTTTAGGCTCACCAGCTGAATGTAGTTGATTCGTTTCTGCTTTAGTTGCTGCAGAGCTCGTTTGGCATCTTCTTGTAAAGGGAAGGCAAGACCCTGAAGAGTCTGAGTCCTCCTGTCTAAACCAAACTCCATTGTGACCTGGACAAAGCCGTCAGACCAGCATAAAATCAGCTCCTTTGTTGGATTATGTAAAATGAGTAAATAAGAAGAGATGTGTCTGGACAGACCCTTGCTCGTGCAGTTGGGGTTCCGATTCTTCTCCGTTCATCCTGCAAACAAAAGGGTGTTTATATTCCTGCATTTTAATGGATTGAAATACACACATAAATATGTATAAAAAAGGATCAGCTTACCAAGACCACTTTATCCTGTAGCAAAAAATATAAACATAAAGTGCAAAAAAAAAGAGAACAAACAATGAAGACATAATTTGCATATGCAGCAACTTATAAAGACATAGATGAACCTTAAATTTTTTTTCCTAGATTTTCTGATTTTTTTTTACAGACTTAATTGCATTTTGATGGGATTTAAAGCAAAAAGATCAACACTAAGTAATCAAGTGGAACAGGCGGTGCATGAGCTTCAAACGTTTAAACAATGCATTAAAAAAGGAAGGTGTTGAATATTTTTGTGTTTAGCTGTTTAGCTAAACAAGTTTTTTTTACTTCTACAATTTCTATTCACCCCATTTATAGAGAGAGCTCTTTAGAACCATGATTGGCAAATTGGCAGATCATAAAAACTACTACTTATTCTCTTTAGAAAAATACTTCATATAATTTAGAATAATTTGAGAGTCTTAACCACAGATTTTCATTTCAATTTAGGTCTGGACCATTCTAACACACATACATTGGATTCTATGTTCCCATTATCTAACCCATCGTAAGCTCCCCAGTCCATGATTGCTGAAACCCTCCCCATAGCATGACGCAGCCATCGACATGTTTAATGTTAGGAATGCTGTGCTTATGTTTTTCTTTTATCAATAACTTTCTTTAAATCACACTTCCATAAAGACTAAATTGGTGCTAAGAATGAGCAGCAGACAGTCCATTGCCCCATCAGAGCTGCAGATTTCTGCAGCTTCTGCAGAGTCAACTACCTTGGCTACTTCTCTGTTTCCTGGAGCATCTGCTTAAGGTAGATTGAGGACTATGTCACATGCTTTCCATCTTTGTAAACTTGGCTATAACAGTGCTCCCCAAAATGTTCATAACTAAAGATTTCCCTTTATAATTTTCCTCTGCTTTAGATTTCTAAGCAGCTTCTTCTCTGACAATGTTCTTGGTCCTAATTATGATGTTTGTTCACTAATGTTTTCTATCTTTTAAAACCTCGATTAAGCATTATAGATATTCAGATATTCAGTTATATTAGAGTTATTCATCTATATTCATCTTATTCTTGATTTTCATTTTTTTATGATATTCATACTGATCTTTGAAATTTATTTGGATTTGAAGAAAACCCGGCTGAATACAAATCAATACCTTATTTTCAAATATTTAACTATAAAATTACATGAAACATAAATTTTTTTCCTTCCAGTTTAAAACAATGTATCCTATTATATTGTGATGAACTACTAAATAACATATAAATAGGAAATACAGTATAAAGGTTTGTGCAAGTATACCGGTACATGAATACTTTTGCAAGGCCCTGTAACATCTTAAAATAACTTTGATTTCATGAGTACCTCAGTGACTTTTATTCGTTGGAGCTCTTGTTCGGCTGCTGTAAGAGGAGCTGGAGAGGAGCAGGAGGCTCTGTGGCGTATATATCCCTGAAAGCACAGATCATCCTGCAGGAAGACAGAAATATAAATGACAATGATTAACCGGGAGGTGACTGGTTGATCTCTCAGTATACATTAGAGGGGCCTTTATACACCTCGACTGTGCCGAACATTTCATCTTTGATGTGACCTCCTCCAAACTCTTTCTTCAATGTGGCACGGGTTGCAGCGTACATCATCTTCTGCCGCACCTAGAGGACACACAGCAGCTTTAGTATTTAGGATCCGGATGTTATATATGTTATTCTTAGACTTAATAAATCAGATTCATATACCCATTATATTGTAGGTGAAGATAGTAATAAGATCCTGTAATTTAAACTTGTAAGTGACGGCCATTGCTTATTTTGGTTGTGTTTTTAAACCACTGTTAACTCCCTTACATTTAACTTTTAAAAAAAAGCTTTTTTTGTATTGTTTTATCTTTCTTTTGGGAGTTTTTACTGTTGACTTTATTAATTTTTTTAAAACTTTTATTCAGCTCATCTAAAAGCAAAAAAATTAGAAAAATTGGTAAGTAGCGGGCAGTTGATGGATGATATGGAGGATATGAATAAATAATTATTTTAGAATATGTTTTGGTATTTAAAGAATGATTTAAAACAACAGTTTTAAACAGATTCAATAAATCAAAATATTCTCTTTGGCTATACACGTGTTTCTGAAAAGCAAATCTGTTCGGATAAAAACTGCACAGTGATACTTCCAAGTACTCGAACTATGGAACATAAAGACAGCATTAAATATGAAACCAACAAACCCGACCACAGAGTCATCAGATGGTTTTATCACAGGATGCTAAGTTCTTACCACTGGGAGTTTTTGCGGAAATTGACTAAAAACGTTGCCCATTGATGTTATTGTCCAACACTGTGTGGTAGATAATTGTGAAGAGGAAGGAAAAAAAAATAATGATTTTTTTTTTTTATTATTAATAACTAAACATCTAGAAGGTGCGGCACTTATTTAAGCTCGTGTTTTTTTTTTATTGTAACCCTTTAAAAAAGTCCTTATCATCTCAGCCACAAAACTTACAAAATGAGTAAACAGAGTCAATCTGTGTGTAGTTAAATCAGTTTTGGCTACATGGGGGAACTCAGTTCCTTAGGGCAAATAATCTGCAAATTCAACAATTGAGTAAAACTACTGAATTGCAGGAAGTTGTGCAGGAGGCTGAAACTGATCTAGTTACTTAATTCAAAAAATATCTAAAACATCATATCCGTAGTGAAAAAGTGATGGCATTATGATGCTATCACTTGTGCTCGGGGAAGGCAGCAAGTACCCAGTTCGATTTCCACAGCCTGCATTCTGGGTCCCTAAGCAAAACTCTTAACCCCATACTTATCCACGCGCTCTGTACAATGGCAGCCCACTGCTCCCCAAGCGGATGGGTTAAATGCAAAGAGTTCATTTCATTGCTTTGTCCTTGTGACAATGTAATGATAATAAAGTTGACTTCTATTCTATTCTATTCTATTCTATTCTATTCTATTCTATTCTATTCTATTCTATTCTATTCTATTCTATTCATAGTCCATGGGGGTTCCTATCCCATTAGGATGACTCTAAAAGTACAGCCTAAGCTGTAATGCTGGGGTTTAAAATTGAAGCATATTCTATAGAAGTTCAGATCTAGATTTTATTCTTAATATTTGGTAAGACTTAAACAATGAATTGAAATTTAACAAAGGTAGATGTGATGAATTTCCTAGATGTCTTTTGAGCCTCAAAGCTTATGAAGACATACCCAAAAAGACCAAGAAGAACACCGCTTCATTCTTTAAATCTATGAGCCTTTTATGCTTGCATGAAATGTAGAGTTAAGAGGCTTAAAAAACAACAAGCAAAAACATACTGAACTAAAAACATTAAAATACCACTTTAAGTAACTACAAGAAAATCTGCCGCATCTTAAGCTAAATACAGTATAAAGAAGTTAATAAAAATAAAAAAGTTGTGAAAATGTTTTTCCCCCTGTTCTGTTAAATTTGAAACACTGCAACAGAAATATAGAACTGAGGCTAATTTCCAAACATACTGGTGATTGGTCAGGCGACCATGCAATGAATATCCACTCGTGTCCCTGTGCATTCTGGGAATCCAGACGGTAAAGGATGTAACAGGGCTCCTGAGGCTTTAGAAGAGGAAGCAGAAACTGATCAAAGTCCTTGTCCCAGCTCTGGGCAGGCTCTCTGTATGAATCTAACACCAACTCCTCTGCAGAAGAAGAGAAAGAAATTCAGGAAACATTAGGTCCTAGCTTCAATAATGGGCTTTTTAATAGTAGAAGTTGTTACCATTGCTGATTATGATCTTCATTATTCTGATGGAACCTCTTCTTGCTCGAGCCAGGAACTGTTTAAGCTCGGGTGTTGCTGCAGCAATCAGATATAAGCATAAAAAAAACAAGCAAGCATAAGCAAACAAAGACAAGCAAAGCAGAGTTTGGTAAGTAAGAAGCTGTGACTCCACTGAAGAGTGAAAATTTGATCCACAGCCAGGAAATCATTTTGTCATCTAAACGGACTTACACTCTGACCAGCCACTGACAGACTAGTTTGTAGAATAAACCAGTTGTGTTCTGTTAAAAAAGAATTCTCATATAGAAAATCTTGGTCTGCTTTAGTGTCTCTTCTTGTCTCACCATGGTTACCAAACCCTGCCATCTCATAAATGATGTACGATCAGGTGAGAAAAAGGAACACTTCCGTCAACCCTCCAATTAATAAACCCCATTACCTCCATACATAAACCGCTGCAGAATGAAGGAAATTTCCTGATCTCATCATCAAAACATTACAGACATTTAGAAGAGGTACATGCATGGATATTTGTCTCTTTATCCTGGCAAAGTTTATCATGTTTTTAGATAACATTTGCAGACTTCATCTTCAGACGTCCTAAACACGATCCCACAAAACCACACTCTACTTATTCAGATTAGATATAATGAAAGTTTTCATTTAAAGACACACTTACCATTAATTCCAGTTTGGTGGGACATCTTTTGACAGTCAGTGTTCACAGTTTGCTGTACCTATCATGCAACAGAGACCCCTTCCAGGTCTTCAGAGTTCTCTCTCTGCAGGTGAGTGGCCTCTCCTCCGATGGCAGACAGATCCAGCCACACGTACAAGTGACATAAACGCCTGGAGGATGACTCGGGAGCTCCCTAACGTCTGAAACACAATCTACGGAAGTGCGGCCAATGAGTAATAACGTGCCTGTCAGTGGATATGCCTCCCCAATGAGTGATCTGAAACGCTTCACGTATCGATGGCAGCAGTGTTAATGGTCTCAGTGGGGGAGTCCTAAGTGGGTCGCTCCCTGTCTTGTCTTGGGTCAGTGTGGAGAACCGAAGATGTTCTCACCAGAGGTCAAAACACTGTTTCCAGAAGCTGCTTCTGTGTTGCGTGTAATGACATTTTAGCACTCCTTCACAAGGGATGGATAATCAGGCAGACGAAACAGCATGATCTCAAATTCCAGCGACCTGGTCAAAGAAATGTGACACCGGGCTAGAATCTGATCGCTACGTTTGAACATAGTTCCCCCATCCTACATACCTGCAGTCAGTACACCTTGTGCCTATTACCAGGAAAAAAAGAGAATGAAGAGTAAAGACTAGGATGGGTTCAGATACCCTAAAAACCTTCAACTGCAGTGAAAAATGTACGTGCATTTCAATATTCCGCCTGAAGGAAAAGTCAGAAAATCTAGAAAAAAAAGCAAATTGCTTCTGACCAAGCTGGCAATTTGATCATCTGGAAATTAAAACAGTACTTGAGGTTCTGAGATTCTCAGTCCAGGCTGAATAATCTGCCAACAGGACAACTATTGCTGGGAGTTCTAAAACACAAAATAGTAAAGTCTTAAATCCAAATTTAATGTTCTGGCCCACATTCATAATGACATGGGGCAGATAAACAGAAACCTGAACAAGCAATACTAACTTGACAGAGTTCATGTGAAATATGATACAGATACAAAAAAAAAAACCTGCAAGAAAAAAACATTGGATCCTACAAATTAATTGATATTCAAACGGAGGTTCACCCTCCAGTAGGACAAGGACCCAAAACGTAAAGCTAGCGCTACAATAGGATGATTCAGATCTAAGCATATTTGAGAAAGCATTTCTTGGACCTAAATCTACCTGTTACTCTTTAGCATGAGCTGTTGGGAGTAGAAAATAATTCAATTAAATTCAATTTAATCTAATTTTATCACGACAATTCAAGACACACGTCATCTCAAGGCACTGTTGTGCCATATGCCATGGTCATGGTTTTTGGACATTGGTAGCCAGTGTTCATATTTCCTCTTGACATGATGACCATAGAAGAGACTCATAAGCAGCTGTAAGACCTCTGTAACCCCCCCTTTTCAGCCAACTGCCTCCACAGGAACTCCCACAGAGGTATGACTGGCCACCCCCCTCTGTGTTGAGGACAGTAAAGACCACAACACACAGGATTTTACTCTCTTTCCCATGAAGCTGCCTGAGGGTCCAAATCCGAGGGGCTCCACCAAAATGAAGATCCAGGCAAAAAGCCCAGATCTCCAGAATGACCAATGATAAGCGGAGGTTTGAGTTTTCAGAACCAAACTGCTAGAAAACAGACTTTTTGCAACACATTTCTCTTGAGCTTTAGAACTTACAGAGCCATACTGGATGAGGAGGCCTCCTAAGGATCCCTTGGTGTTATCCACATGGATAAGGAAAACCCCTGGTTGCTGTTAGACTGCCTGAAAACCTGCTGCTGAAAGAAACTCAAGCCTTCCATTGGACATGGACAAAAGGTTTGCAGGTCTGGCACAATTAGGGACAGAACAAAACATATGTCTTTTGATGATTTTTATCATTTGACATGTTTACTGATTAGTAAAGACAAAGCTAACAGGATGGACTGCATGCTATGCTATAGTAACATTTGTTGAGCTGTTGTTTGTCTTGAAAACATTGAAATTTCTCTAAATTTGTGAAAAGCTAATTTGATCACATTCCAAATTCTTCCAGATAAACTTTGGTTTTAAAACACAAAATCCATCTTAAACTGTAATATGGTTTTCAACCATGTTTCCCCTTCCTCTTTGTAAAGAGTAGTTTAGTTAAGTTTCACTAGTTTTAGTTAAGAGTTTTAAACTTAAATATTTTTGACTTGGAGCTGAATTATTTTTGTTAATAAACTCTTATATTTTGAACAGAAGTTGTGGTGAATTTATTCCATGAATGTGCAGAGTTAACTGTTTGACCATGATTTAAACTCAAATCACTCTTTTATTTATTGTTTTAACACACAGCTAGTAGGGCGTGTGTTCATAAACAATATATAACAGCCCAAATAATATCTGATTAAATAAGATATTTACCACCCCTATTGGGTTGGGCAATGAACATCTTAAAGTATCAGAAAATATGAAATATAATAGCTGGGAATTTAAGTTATTCGCAACATTAATATGACATCCAACCTGGATGGGAATTAAATTTTATATAAAATCACTACAGCACTTTACAGAGACAATTCAGTCAGATCACACAGCCAGATTAAGTCAAAATGTTCTACCTAAGAAAAACCATCCGATTGGATCAACTCTTAATCAATTCCTCACAACAAGCATGCTTGTAGCGACAGTGGAGAGGAAAACTCCCTTTTAACAGGAAGGAGCCTCCAGCAGAACCAGACTCGGTGTGAGCGGCCATCTGCCGAGGCAGACTGGGGTTCAAGGAGACAGAAGCAGACATACAGTAAGGAGCAGAGATGCAACTTGCAACTGTCAACCAACTCCACAGGCGGCCCCCTCCAGGAGACACACAGTCAGTCAGACAAGTTACCATATCAGAGGATGAAATAAAGGAAAAAGCTTCAGTCTCTCGGTGCAGGATGAGAGATATCCTAAAAGCTGTACAGTCATATGGACACCACCCTACTAATAGTTCTACATTAAAAAAAAAACACCTGAGACCAAAGAGCCATTACAAATTCCATTGTTTTATTGCCTTTGAGGTTTGTGGATTGGTTGTATAAAAAAGAAGAAATTACACCTTTTCAAGTAATTGTACAATACAAAACACATTAACGAGTATTTATAAGGAGCTCCAAAAAGTTACAAAATATCTGTATAAACAGCTCTTTCACCATCACACAACACAAAAAGCATCCAACATAAAGAAAAGATGTTGGAAAATATTAAAAGTTAACAGAAAGTTTGATTAAACTGTAAAAAAAAAAAATCAGGTTTCACCTGATTTATTTCATTTATTCTTCCACACATTGTTTGATCAAACACACATAGGTGTTGGTGAGAGAAAGATAAGTGTGTCCCTGTGAGGTTACCTGTGATGGGATCATCCATTATTCACTCTGTGGTAAGTACACTACCTAAGCATGTATACATTATTCAGCATGGCTCCCACCCCTCTACTCTGCTTCAGAAGAAACAGTTATAGATGTGTGGGCGAGTAAACACACTAAAACACTTCTTTATCTATGATTCCTTTATTTTTTAGGTCAAGGTTCTGTTCTCCTGAACTCTGCTATCAAATTGATAGTTTCCAGTTATTAGTATGAAAATAAAAAGATTTACTATAGCTATGTATTTAAATCATTTAGCCTTATACCTAAAAGAATTACAATGGAATTACAAAAAAAGGATAAAAAGAAGTACTGAGCATATCACTAGTTAAACCAACTGACATTAAAGTACACTATAAGAATCCAATAAATGAAAATTTATACCAACAAAGTTGGGGATTGGACTCAATATGAAAGTACAAAACTGGAAAACATGATTATGCCAAGTTCACACCTGACATGCTTCTGGCAGCAGAAGCAGCTGGTTTACATGCAAAGCCTATGGTTGACACGTATCATGGTGCATCAAAAGGTCCTGGATCAGCAGGAGCAGCTCATCTTGACACATTTGAGCAGCTGAAGCAGCGCCTCAAGAGTTTCTGACCATGAGGTACGTGACGTGCTTCACAAGCAACAGATGTTGAAATCGAAAAAACTGAATTTTTGCTGCTCGACGAGCCACATTTACAAATCAGAGAAGCTGATCAGGGAGCTGGTAGGGAGACAGACACAGCAATGCTGATGCAGAGAACTATAATCACTCCCCTAAAACACCTTATAAACGCCTAAATTAACTTAAAATGCCAAAACCTGCTGGAAAAATATGTTTGCTTTTATTATTCTGGTTCTTGCAGTTTCTCCAAACATATCTGAAAAACACTACCATCTACTTTCAGCTGCAACAAAGTAGGAGGAAAAACCACAAGAAGTCGACCAACCTTGAGGTAGCTGCTGTTGCTGGATTCCCAATGATAGCACACCGCCGGAATATGAGGTCTGAGCACCTCTAAGGGTGAAATAATATTTCAAGGCACAGGCGATGTTTTGAGGTGGATTTACTTACTTAAAAATAGGGTTGCACCGATCCACTTTTTTCACCTCCGATACGATACAGATATTTGAAGTTTAATGTTGGCCAATACCGATACCAAAAACAGCACTGAATTATTACATAAAAATGGTTTTATTGTGTGAAAAAAACAGATCATTCTTCTGTGCATATGATTTGATTCCCCTTTTCTCAAAAAAAAAAAAAAAAAAGGAAATAACCCAAATATAAATGTTATGACTCAGTTATTTAACAACTGTGCACAAAATCTTAAACCAAAAGTTCTCTGACTTGGTCAACATGTAAAAAAAAAAGTGTCATTATCATTATCAAGTATCATCTCTGTCATTTTTTTGGCCTGTATACTGTTACATGGAAAAATTTCACTTCTTTCCTTTGCTTGGAGAAANAAATATAAATGTTATGACTCATTTATTTATATCTGACTTGGTCAACATGTAAAAAAAAAGTGTCATTATCATTATCAAGTATCACCTCTGTGATTTTTTTGGCCTGTATACTGTTATATAAAAAAATTTCACTTCTTTCCTTTGCTTCCATCAAAGTCAGCTGCTTCCTGCTGCATTCCTTTTTGTTTGTAGAGTCCGATAATCTCAGCATGTTCCTTGTTATGAAACCTCTAGAGGTATTTCATTAAGTTGGTGGTGTTATAGTTTGTAGATTTGAAAACACCGCCCCCTCAGAACATTTCTGCCACAAATAGATGTTTTCGCTCGCCCAATCATAAACAATATGGCCGTGTTGTTTTGTTGCGCTGCTGCATGACGGCAGAGCATAGCATAGTTGGAAGGAATAGATTGGCCCCTATATCGAGTCAATTGTCACCGATACCGATCTAGTTTTTTTTCTTTATATCTGGACCGATACCAATAAAAATATCGGATCGGTGTATCCCTACTTAAAAACATATTAAAACAACTTTTTACCCACTTATAACAGCAAATATAGCAAAATTTCTCTCTGCCATTGAACCCAGGAGCAGCAGAAGCATCAGATGCATCTGTACAGTTTACTGGACGCGCTTCAGGAAAATCAAAAATGCTCTAGAAGCGCGTCGGACCTTAGTGTGTACAAGCTTAAAAAATGAAGCAGAAGGCGCTTCTTTGCTGGCCAAAGCACATCCAGTGTGAACGTAGCAAAAAGCTTTGTGATTAAGTGCTTTAATAGGCTATAAAATGTAACCATTTAAAAACCCCAAAACAACATCCAAAATGTATATTTCAGTCTTTTCTATTTTTTTTTGTTTGTGCCTTTTGTCTTGTTCTTCTCAATTTTGTTCTGGTCACCGTGAAATGTTAGGAAAGATTAATATTAATATACGTAAAATAAAAAAGACAAAAATTTGAAAACAAATCGTTTAATATCAAAAATGTGAACAGCAACAGTTTTTTTAAAAAGAAGAATTTACAAAGACATAGTATAAAATTCTTAAAATAACCACACACGAACAATGTTAGGAGGACAATTTTAAAAGGAGACGACAGGCTTTTTAAAAGCCTCAGAATACTGTTGTAAAACATGTAAAAAGCTTTTAAGAATACTTCTATATTTCTTGGGCAAAGTGTCCTAAAACATAAAGTCCAACATGCTGAGATTTCCCTCCTCACTGCTGGGTGGGAAGGTTTCTCAGCCCCTCTACTATAAGTCATCAATACACGGCAGCCAGAAAGACTGTGGAGGAAAAAACAGCAACATCAAAACAGGAAAGATTAACATGAATAGTAAAGAAAGAAGCACTTAGTCCAGCAGTTTCATGTAATATATTTGCTCTCACCATGTTTGTGCATGCGCTGGCAAATGTCATGTATCTGGGGTTAAACTGTAGACCGTTGATAGGTCCTGGGTGTTTGCCATCCAGCACGGCCACCTTCATCCCACTTTCAGTACTCCAAACATGAACTCGTCCGTCCTCTGAACCTGCACAACATAGACTCTGTATAAACCGCCTGCCAAGGGTAGTCAAACTCGTTTAACCTTTACACATATTGATTTGTGAAAACTACGAACTTAAATGGTCGAAAACAAAGGATTAGGTTAGAAAATAGAACCCAAAGCCTAAAAGAGCATAACATCTCCCAGAAAACTGCTTTTTTAAGCAAGTTTAGGACGGACAGCCATGAGGTCCATTGTAAGTGAGGAGGAGCTGGAGATCCACAGCTCAGTTGGAAGGATTTGCTGATAGGACCAAAATTAGTGTGCCTCAAGCCATTTACGACACACAGCATGTAAAATATAAATACACTGTTTGGTCTACTACATATCCAAATGCTTCACATAGAGAACAGTACCACCAAACATCACCCTGAACACACCATCTGTATGGTGAAACATGAGAGTGGCAGCATCATCCAATGAGGTTGTTTTTCATTAGAATAGAATAGAATAAAATGAAATAGAAAATCTATTTATTGTCCAAGAATGGGAAACTCCTGGTGTTTAAAAGATTATAGAAAAAAATGGTCCCACAAATATGGACCTTAGAAAAAATTATAAGAAAAACATAATAGTGAAGAGATAAACAATAAAATACTGTACTTTAAAGTGTTTATAAATATAAAAACTGTTCACCTGGAGAATATGGATATTTTTATAGTAATTGACATTTGAAAATAGCAGCAACATCAGTATATTATTTAACTAAATGACTAAGCATGAATGTAACAACTTATTGAGGTTACTGGGAACAGTGGTGATTATAGAGTCGTACAGCTGCTGGGAGGAAAAATCTGTGATAACGCTCCCTGGTGCATTTAGGGTGCAGCAGTCTGTCACTGAGGGAGCTCTCCAGTTCTATAACAGCTTCATGCATGGGGGGGGCGCATTATCCAACAGAGGTGTTAATTTAGTTAGGATCCTTTTGTTTCCCACCTCCTGCACTGAGTCCAGAGGGCATCCAATCACAGCGCTGGCCTTCCTGAACAGTTTATCCAGCCGATTTCTCTCAGCTACAGATTACCTACCATTACAAGGGAAGCTGACCTGAACTAATAGGAGGATGAATGGAACTTGATATATGGCATGACTGAAATTGCAAAGATTTGTGAACCAGGGTGGAGATTAAACCTCCAGCGGATGGCCTAGTCAAAGCCCGGATGTTAATCTGATAAAGAGTCTGAGGGAAGATTTAAAAAAATGAAAAAAAGCAACACAAAAAAACTGATCAAGCGCACCCTTCTTCACAGCTTGTTATAAAATTACAAAATTAATAAATGATTTAACCAGATGTGTAAAGCCCCAGATGTTCTTCATCTGAGAGGAGCAGAAGAAAAAGTTATTTAGCTTACCAATCATGACAAACTTTGAGTCTGGTGTGAAGGAGGCCTCCAGGGAGACGCCTTTACTGTTGTTATAACCCTGAAATTAGGTAATAAAGTCCTTTAGAAAATTAAAAGTCACTATTTTAATGTCTAAATACATATCCTTTAGCACATCTGTGTTTCTGTGTCTTACTGAAAAAGTGTGCAGCACTGATCCACTAAAGGCGTTCAGGATGCGGACAGCACCTCCATTGGTGCAAATAAGAATAAGCTTTCCATCGTTACTGAATTTCAGTCCAGTCCAGTCGCAGCTCCGATTTAATCTGGTCTCAAAACATGCAAAGGGACCCTTAAAGACACAGTAGTATCGCCAATGTCATTAGTCACAGCAGCAGCATTTATTTTTTCTAGGGTCAGATCACACATCTCACGAAGATTTGCACCTTGTCAAAAGCACGGATGTCGTACAGTTTGATAGCCTGGGATTCCACTCCTGCTGCAAATACCAATCCATCTGGGTCAAAGGAGCACACAGGTTTCCCCAGAGGGTCAGTCAAACCCTGAGACACACAAAGCAACACAGAAAAGACAAAAAAATTAATATAAAACTAGATCTTTTATCTTATTCTTGTTTTTATTATTGATGACCACTGGCCTGTTGTAAAGGACTACATGTGAAGCTTGAGCTAAACAGTCTTACTTGGCAATCGGGGGAACGCAGATCCCAGATGCGGATAGTCTTATCCAAAGAGCTGGAGATGAATGTCTCATCCACAGGAGACATGGATAGTGCAGTTACCCTGATTAGACAAATAAAGCTTACTTTGATCAGTGTGAAGGAAGCTGTCAGGTTACATTGAAAATAAACAAGCTTAGATAATAAACAGTTTCAGAATATCGCCCATAAAAACTGCTTTTATGAAAGAGTTATGAGGTTTGCAGAAAATGCCAAAAAAAAAAAAACTATTAGTGGCGTTCATTTAAAAGTACAAAATAAGTTATCTTTACAAAGTTTGCTGATAAAAATATTACAGAATGAATATTATTAAATTAAGAACTTCCTCCTACCAACAAAGTGAAAGAAAAAGGTACATATTTTTTTTTTTTTTTTTTTACATTTGCAAAAGTTATCAATGAGGAATGTGCTTGAAGACATTAGTGACATGGGTATTTTATGAAGTTTATGTGAAAGACCAACATAAAAAGTAAACATAACCGCACATTGTCACACCCCCTCCACGAGGAACCATGGAGGTGGCCAGGCTCAGACTGTGTACGATTTTTAGCCCTGGCATTTTTCCATCTACATCGGCCTACTTATGTCCACACTCACATCTGCAGGGCTGCCAGATGTCACTGACTCACATTTTCCAGCCAAAAAAAATAAAATTCATAAACTGCCTGGATATACGAAATCTCACCCAGTTTGAACCAAAGTCTAATGATCTTTTAGGCCAAACCACTAAAGAAAAATATTTTTTACCCATAGACGGCCATCCTAAACAGCCAAAACATCCCAACCTGGCAACAATGCACATAAGATGGGAAACGTTAACCTTTAAGGGCTGGTTATACTCCTGCAGCAGTGTGTCGCAGTGAGCTTGAAGCAGACATTTTTGATTTGTGCCCAATGTTGAAGCGTGGTCTGCGCTAAATGCTGTGGGTCTAGATATGGCCAAGGTGGTGAGGAAGTGGGGGCGAGTTTGTCCAACAACAGAGGGACATGAGGGCGAAAAAGAGCGGGAATCCAGGTGGAAAAAGGCTGCCAGCGTTCTCACACACCTCGCTCTTCTAGCTGGTCCAACTTCTCGAGTTGTTTTCTTTAATTTCGGTCATAAAAAAAAAAAAATACTCCTGTCTGCAGCACTGTCTGACCTATAATTTGGGAGGTGCAGCATAGTGTCTGCAGAGGGGACATCTGTTTGTTCACTGCGACACCTACGCAGACAACCTAGTTTCGAAGTATAAATCAGCCCTTAGATGCAAAACCCCATCATGCACCGCAACATAAATTTGCAAAATATTCAAACACAAATTTGCCAAATATAAGAGGAACATTGTAATTTGTTTTAAAGAAAGAATTTTATTATAATTTACTCTTTTGCAAGGATTTTACAGTTTGAAGAAATAGAAAATGACACCATATGCCAACCGTCACAAGGATGTGCATGACAAGGAAGGGCTATATATACTGCATGCATCATTAAGGTAGTTAACGTTGTATTACTTCTTGAGCTCATTGAGTTATTTAGTGTCACAGGTAGGTGCTTCAGCCGGAGAATAAAGGGCTGGTTATAATCCGGCAGCAGTGTGTCGCAATGAGCTTTACTCAGACATTTTTGATTTATGCTTAATATTGACGCGTGGTCTGTGCTATACGCTGTGGCTAGATACGGTTGAGGCGGTGAGGAAGTGGGGGCGAGTTTAGTCAGACAACGGAGGGACATGATGTCGAAAAAGAGCAGGGATCCAGGTGGAAAAATGGTCCCAGCGTTCTCACGCACCTCGCTCTTCTAGCGGGTCAAACTTCTCGAGTTGTTTTCCTCAGTTTTGGTCATAAAACCAAAACAAGCCGGCCTCCTGTCTGCAGCACTGTCTGCGGTCAGCTACAATTTGGGAGAGGTGCAGCGGAGTGTCTGCGGAGGGGGCTGGGACGCCTTTTTGTTCACTGCGACACCTACGCAGAGGACCTGGTTTCAAAGTATAAATCAGCCTTAAGTGTCTGTGCCGGTATGATTTAAGGAGGGCCAACCCTCGCACACTGAAATTAGGACCGGCCCACAAGGCAAATTCCCAGTATCACAGATTACCAGTCTGAGCATGGAGGTGGCAGTATAATGGTTTGTTTACAGCACTGAAAGAGAGAAGGTGGTCAAAGTTGTTGGAGAGGGAGTTATATTTGTAACTTGAAGCAGAACATTAAAGCTAAACAGACAGATTGAAGTTGAACCGATTGTTAAAATGAACAAGCCAAAGCCTTGATCTGGATCCAATTTGAAACAAGAGTTTTGTGGTTGTAACTTGACAAAATGTGAAAAAATAGGTAAGAAACTTTTATCAAAGCAACGATTATTAGTTACCTTGCAGAGTGACCGGGGAAATATCGGATAAACTTGTTGTCAGTAAGCGACAGATATCTAATTGTATCTGTAAGACACAAAGCAAACTCAGCTTTCCTGAAATTCCCACATATCTGCTCCCTGTGGCGATAACAATCAGCTGTTTACCATCCAGTTTGTTGGAGCTGAAGACCACATTCTTGGCCTCCCCGTGTGTGAAGCGGATCAGATCTACTCCATACTTCTTGCTGTACAGAGTCCTGGACGGTCTAAAGTGGAACACACCACAAATAATTTACTATATTTACAAATGTGTTGTTTTGAAGCACTGAACTGTACAAACTCACTTTCCCTCCTGGATGTCATATAAAACAATACAGTCGTCGTTGCCACTTGAAACGGCGTGTTCACCATTGGCGCTGTAGTGGACACAATTTACTTTTTCTGAATGATATCGGTGGATTCTGGCGACTTTAAAACTCCTCAGGAGGCTGTCTGAGATCTTCATCGCAGCTGCTGGTTAAAAACATCCGAACTCACACAGCGAGATGTTCTTTCTGCTTGACTTATATTTAGCTTAAAATCTTAGTTAAAATGAGTTACATTGCATGTATATTTAACGCTGTTATACAAATATAACTGCTTATGTTTTGGTTAACAGCACTGCCACTACCCGATCCGTCCCGGAAGCACGATCCGTTCTGCGCGTGCGCCATCAGCTCATTTGCGCATGCGCATCCAGATATACATCCGGGTCTTCTTCGATTTTATTTTGTAAAAAAGAAAAAAAAAAACTAAATGACGTTTTCCCTCCACAGAAATATTAAACGTTCTAAAATATATTGTGTTAAAAGTTAATAATGTATTTCCTGACAAAAAAGATGCATTAAAATCCTTTCTGTTTATTTTATTTTATTTTATTATGTCATAGAAATTTACATGAAAAAAAGAAAATACTCTCAGAGAGGATGGCAAAGGTGTACATTACAATTTAAAAAAACCCTGAAAATTAAACTAACAAGCAGGGGATTTATCTCGGCAAATATTCAAATCAAACATAGAAAGAGCCACAGAAATATATATAAAAAAAGGTGGATGCACTTATTTTTCATTTTTTAAAATCTTTTTAAGAGAAGAAAAATAGGTTTTAAAGTCATTAATAAACCAATGAAAGGAAGGTTTATAATTTCTCCATTTAGCACGGTGGATATGATATTTACCCAACAGCAGGATTGTCAATATACATCATTAATCTTTAAAGAAATCAAATCTTTCAACTATTTCCAGAAGCGATGTGGAGTAGGACACAGGTAAAACATATGTTCAACGGTTTCACTATTATTATTACAAAAGGAACATTGATCCTCCTCAAAACCAAATCTTTTTCTTAAAAATTCTGCCACAGGATAAATTTTGTTTATAACTTTAAAATGTGTTTCTTTGACTTTAGGTAGAATAGGCCATTTAACAAATTTTGAGAATGCATTATCAACTGTATCTGAACTAACAGGAATATATCTCTTCCAAGTAAATCTATCATAATCATGAAATTTTCTTGCTTTAAAAAAACTGTTAATGAATTTATTATTGATTTTTTTTTTATTAAACAGATAGCATTGTGAAATCAATCAACTGGGCAATATTGGTGGGTAATTATATAACCTAGAATTTTTAATCAATTGAATTAAAGGCAGTGGAATCGATTTACACAGTTTGTTATACTTTTTTAGAGAACAGGGAGTGTTGGCCTTGTGGTTAGAGAAGTGCGCTAGTGTTGAAGGTTGCAAGTACCCGGTTCAATCCCCACAGCCTCCTCTTTGGGTCTTTGAGCAAGACCCTTAACTGACACACTGCTCCCTGGGCGCTGCACAGTGGCAGCCCACTGCTGCCCACAGGGGATGGGTTAAATGCAGAGAGTTAAATTCTCCATTATGAGATCAATAAAGTTCAGTTTCTATTTCTAAAAATGGTGGATTTTTTAGAAACTGAACTGTATTTATTCTGTTGTTTAAAGCAGCAAAAAGATTATATACATATAAAAAAGGTCAATTGAACTGAATTGTAAAAAGACACAAACATATGACATAGACACATGTATACACATTACATAAACATATTTCTGGCACTATTGAAACCCCATACATAATTCTAACCTTTAAAAAAATAAAAATAAAAAAGGACAGTGTCCTGTATTTAAATTTAAGTTGGAAACTGAGGACCTTGTGTTAAAACACATCTTAACTGTTCCAGTCGCAATGCAGACCTATTATCATGTGGGATAATGGGTCAGGGTTGGTGAGAAACTTCGGCTTGCATCCTAGAAAAATATTTGGCTTCAAACATGAGAAAATACAATCTTTTAAACAAGCTTAAATCCTGCGGTACAGCTGATAAGTGTGCTACATGTTTTTTTTTTTTTTTTTTTTTTTTTCACTTAAAGTCACACAACAATATATATAAACAAACAACAAACAAACAAATAAATATGCCAGGGGGTATGTCACAATAAACAAGTACAGTTAGGAGAAAAAAAACATGCAATTAAGTGTGCTACATGTTGGTATCAATCAAGTGAGAATGCTTTTACTTTGAAAAGTAAAGTACAACCCGGGTGTGATTTACGAACGTTTCCTGTTGAGGGAAAAGTTGTGTTGTTCTCATCATGTGTTACAGTTCTCACGCTGAAGAATGATGAACTGCTATAAAACAGCAGCCACTGTGGGGGACCACATGTTTTTCTCCCTCATTAAATCCCGGACAATAAGCCGCAGGCTCCCGAACACAAAGCCTTTCCTTAGCCGGAGTCAAAGCCAGGCGGCGGAGTCCTCCTCAGAGGCGTCCCCAGGTCAGCACACCGCTGATAAACCCCGCCTGAGAGCCATTGACCTTGCCCGAAAGGTCCGACAGGAGAAGGCGAGGACTCGGACAGAGCAGACAGAGCCTCCAGTGTCCGCCATGCAGCAGAGGGTGACGGAGCTGAAGCGGTTCAGTCTGCAGCTGCAAAACGTCCATCCAAACGTGTTGGCCAAACACCTGCACAAAAACCTGCTATACCAGGATAAAGATGTGGTGATTATCAACAAACCCTATGGTGTCCCCGTCAGAGGTAAACTAAGGTGGCTTAAAGAAAGAAAATCAGGAAATTTTTATAGTGTGTTTTTGTTAAAATGTAATTGCATGTATGTGTTTATAAGATTTCAAATTTGGACTGATAATAAACTCTCTTTCAGAGGACTCAGGCGTTACCTCCATCACATCTGTGCTTCCTGTTCTCTCTAAAATGATGGATGGACTGAAGGTGAAGAATGACTCCAACCTTCTGCCCTGCCTGAGTCTGGAAAAGGATTCAACAGGAGTTCTTCTGCTGGCCAGGAGCGAAGCAGCAGCAGAGAACATCCTACACCTGAGCAGAAATAACCAGCTGGAGAGGAGATATTGGTAAGTAGTGAGACTTATGAAGGCATTTAAGGAATGCACCATTTAAAATGTGTTAGTTTTGATCAGCTGACCTGCTCTTCTCAGGGTGATCACTGTTGGAGTTCCTGTTCCATCTGAAGGGTTGATTGATATCCCCATCATTGAAAGAGAAGTTTCAAGTCCTCAGCCTCATTTCAAGGTAATTATCATCCAGTTTGGATTATTTGTATAATCGCAATGCTGTGAAGACTAATCAGAGGGACTAAAAGCAGATAAAAATGGACTTTGAAAAGTAAAACTCAGTTTAGCATTAATAAGCAATATGTTCCCAACATTAACTGCAAAACTGACAGCTTTACTTTTTTCTTATCTGTGATAAAAGACAGACAGATAACAAAATCAACATGTCCTGCTACTCCTAAGTTAGGGTGCTAAAAATAGGATAACACAAGTTATTTTAAGCATATTGGTTTACATGTTGAAAATAAACAAGTGAAATGGGTATATATTTGTTTTTTATTATGTTTCCTAATAATTCTGCACAGTAATATTTACCTGCACACACAGACGTCCTCATACAAATCTAAAAAAAAAAAAAAAGCACATCAATTTCCAAAAATATGAAACTTTGATATTAAGGAGTCTTTTGGATTAATTGACAACACAATTGTGGTGCAATAATAAAAATAATCCTCAAAAATACAACTTGCCTAATAATTCTGCACTCAGTACACGTTTTGATACAGAAATGAATGAATTTTACTGAATGTTTATTCCAGATTACGTTTTGGCCTCAGAATGGCAACTGAGCAGTAATTTTTTTTCTTTCTTGGTCTGATCACAAAAAGTTATGATGGATTAAGTACATTATTACAAGTTTATTTTTAATATGACTAAGCACACATGAATATGAAAACACAGTAGAGCGTTAACCTCTACTGTGTTTTCATATTCAGTTAACCGTTTTGTTCTGGCGGGCTCTTAATTTTCATAACATCTCCTTTCAGATGACCCTGAGTCCGCTTTACAGAATGAATGAAGCCGGCGAGAAGCTCACCAAAGTCAGAGGTCACCGGCAGGCCCATCCTGCAGTCACCAAGTACAGAGTGTTGGACAGCAGCTATGGCTGCAGCCTTGTTGAGCTCCAGGCTTTGACAGGTTACATATCTTACATACACTTATCTTCTTCAAGATCAGTTTTAGTTTCCTTCAGGGCTCCTTTTTCCACTTTCCCTGTTTTCCTTCATCCACAGGGGTTAAGCACCAGATGCGGGTGCATATGGCGTATGCTCTAGGATGTCCCATCCTTGGAGATCATAAATATTCCCACTGGAGCAAACTGGCACCACAGGTGAAACATGTATATTACTTACCACAGGGTGCAATGGGGGAGGGCAACACAAAGACACATGGAAAAGGAGGCATGGGTGAATTTCTCCCTTTGCTGTTTCATTCCCTGATCTGTTGTACCCATAAATCAAAGAAGCCTCAGACGTAACATTTCATCTTAACCAAATGTTTTATGTAATTTTCCATGATCTTTGTGGGTATATTATTGATCTAATCTATATTTAGATTGAAAAAAGTGAATGATCTGTCATATTTAAAAAGAGTCAGAAGCCTCGAACAGGAATCCTAACCAGAATCATTAGAAATCAGTGCAAAAGAAAGTCATGCAAAAATAACAGTTTGATTTGAATATTTACTAATAAATACGTTTTTATGCGACTTCATCAAAGTCAGAAATATAAAGATAAATGAATGCAAAATGGTTGAACACCAAGTTATGTTTATGGGTCCTCAAGTGAGGGTTAGAAAGGAGGGATTGAGTGTGTCAGTCAATACAAAAAAGTCCTGATCAGTTTTACCAAAAACATTTTCTGACACTGCAGTGAACTTTTTTAACATGACACTTATACATGTAGATTGGCTAATTTCTAAGCTTTCATTTAGCTGTGTGCCTCACTAAAACCTAACGAAAACATCAGCTTCATGTTGTTTAAGATTGAATTTCTCCCCCTGATTCACATTTTGTCATTCAATAATTAACTTCAGTCTGAAAATGGAGTTCGCTTCTATGTACATCTCTGTGAATTAAAATATAAAAGTATGTTGAGCAATTCTGTTAGAAACCATAATCCATTACAGAGAAATATCCAGAATCATAAAAATGTTAAAGGTTAATAGTTGGCTGAAAACGAAATCCTAAACATTTCTTATAGAAACAGAAATGTCAGCATTCTGATGATGGTCTACCTGGTTTAAGTTCTTTTT